GACTGCACACCGAAAGAAATAAATGTGCTGCTGCTATTTAATAGCTAATATCAACCGACAGAGTTGAAACAAATTAAATTGAAAATAATGTTATATTTAAATTTAAATTAAAAAAGTAAAACAATTATTTAAAAGATAAAAATAAAATTATGCGAAGATTTTGATTATAGACCAAAGTATTGTAAAAGACAAAAATAAGTCCAATTTTAAATGTAGTCAAATTGGAAAAACCAATTGGAATATAAAAGACTCTTATTTATCCATAAAAAATAATTAAAAGAAAATGGTTCAATTAGCAAAGACCTCGCTGAAGCTGTAAGTTTAAAGTATATGCATATTCTCATTATATTAATAAATAAACTTTAAATTTTTCAAATTTGCTACAAGTAAAAATATAGGTTTGCTAAATAAACAAAAATAAATCTCAATTAACAAACAAAATGTACGACTTTTTGTATAATCAATGATACATAATATCTTTCATTGGTTTTTATTTCATTTTATGAAAAATATTGGATTTCTAATGGTGATTTTTGGTTCAGAGGAGTGGTACTAAAGTAATCAAACTTACGGTGATATAAGTAAAACAAGTTAAGCGAAGCTTTATAAGCAAGAAAGTATTATAAAAGTAATTAGACAACAGCAGTCGAAAGTAAGTGTATGTAAATAATAGGAAACACAAAGATAACAGAGATTATTTTATGTATAAAGAATTTTAATGTATAATGAATCTCAATACATTAAAAAAAACTTCGGATTTTTTAAAAATGATTAAATCATAGAAAATATAAAAAAAAAATGTGCAACAAGTAAAAACATAAATTTAATTTTGATATCTTTCGCAATAGGCAAAGTTTATCAAAATACGTTCAGTGTAGGTAGCAAGTGGGCTGAAAGGGTTGAGGGAGGGGCGGCGAGTGGTAGAAGTGGTCTCGAAACCGGGTGCAATTGGGTAGGCAGGCTGGGCACAAAATCAATAATGATTACATTTGAGCTGCATATTTAACCAGCCCAAAAGGGGCACGAAGATTTGTTTCTGCCCGCCGTCTAAATGACATTTATGTGGGGACTAGTGGGAGGAAGGGGAGGGGGGACAAGTCTTGGCTTGGTCAGGTGGTTTGATGGTGGTCTTTGCCCCGAGAGAGAGAGAGAGAGAGAGAGAGAGAGTGTGAAAAATGCAGCAAGCACAAACAAAACATACGAAATACAAAAAAAATACAAAAGACGGAAGGCGGTTAAGTGCTCGAAGGCGGCAGCAGCAACAATAAACAAAAAGGCGACGCCCACTTCTAAAACGGGCAGAAGAGTGCACCCCACCCACCCTCCCCCAACCCCACCCACAAACCCCAGCAGCACTTTAGCTTTGAGCTGAGCTGAAAACGGGTTGAGTACTTTGCGCTGTGGGGCTTCGAAGCAAAAGAAATGCAATAGCAAGAGGAAACTGCAATAAGTGGCGCGCAGGGTCAACAATAAAAAATACGAAAGAAGGAGGATGAGGGGGAGGAGTAGATAGAGAGGGGGGCAGACAGAGAGGAACGGCACTCAATGCAGTCAACGGCCTACAGACGATGGGCAATAAGTACAAAAAAAAAAAAACAAAGAAGAATCACAGATAGAAGAAGGGAGAATGGGGTGTGGAGGGGGCCGACCAAGACGAGACTAAGCTCAAGCTCAACCAGTTAGAAATTGCAGCAGAAAAATGCAGCAAAGTACAGCTACCAATCTGATACATACACACATATACACACACATGCACACACATACATACATACACATACACACGCACACACACACCCCTCAAACGTTTTATGCTCGCTTGGCAGGTTGAAATTCAACGCAGCAGAACGAGCAAAGCGACAAGGCAAAGTAAATGCAGAAAAAAAATAGCAAAGAAAATATGCACACAACAATAGCAACAACAACAGCTATACAAATGAAAGGCCAGACAAAAAGAAAAAAGCAAAAACACAAAATAGGCACAGTGCGAAGAATGTGCAAAAGGCAACAGAAACAGCAACAACAACAACAGGAGCTGCAGCAGCAAAGTAGAAAATGCATCATAAAGCAAACGCCAAAGCAATTGCAACTGAATGCACCGCTAAGAAGCACACGAAGAAGAAGAAGAGCAATAAATGCAGCAGCACCAACCCGACTCAAAATGTACGCTAGGCGACTGGACGGGGCGAGACAAGTGACTGCATATCATTCACACACACATTGCAAAAAGTTATAAAAAGTAATATTAAAGAAATGGGTTATTCAACGATTTAAGATCTATTATCATTTTGTTAAAGAAAGCTGTTATATACATTCAAGATGTATATAACAGCTTTCATTATTGATATTACATTTATAAAATAAGAGAAATTGACAGGATGTATGCTTAGATACTTATGACCTAGTTTTCCTATATTTTTCTATTAACTAGTGTCTGACATGTGACTGCACAATAAATTAAATTCCCTGAGATTCACTCACTAATTTGTTGAGTGTATTTAACGGTTATTAAATACAAATGTGTGAAGGATGATATTCAAATTTTTGTAAAGCAAATTGTATAACAATTTATCCGAAAAATTTATAAAATTTATAAATTTTTGCAAAAAACATTAAATATAAGAATAGAAGTAGTTTTAATTGAACGACTGAGTCAAGATATTTGGAATTCAAATTATTCACAAAGATTTTATAAACATGAAAAGTGAAACTTAAATATTTTTTCAAGAAAAACATTAAATATCAAATATAGAAGAACATTGTACATATATTTTTTTTTCATAATTATATAAAGAAATGTGGAATGTTGGAATTTGCAATTAAAATTGTTCACTAGTTTTAAATCTCACATATTTTTTTTAAATAACCAACGATTTCGAATTTTTTTTAGGAAAAGCATTAATTGTAAAATATTACACCAAGGCATATTTTTAATTTGTGCAGAAAAATGGTAATTCAAAATTTTAAAACAATTTGCCAATCAGAATCAGAATATCTTAAATATTTTACTTTGTAGCGTCTCTATGCACCTCCTACACATAAACAAATCTAATGAAATAATACAATGGCATATATGCACATATATTTGTACAATTATTCACATGCATAATAAGTCAATTTATTGCATAAATAGACATTACTTCACTGTGCTGAGTCACAAGACTTTTTTTTTATTATAATTATTATTATTAAGAGAACAATTTGTGAAATTCGGCATTCAAGCTTAAAAATATATATATATAATATATTCATATTTAACATATATTTACATATTCATATATTATTTTCATATATTTATATTCAAGCTTATAAATTTATAAATATATATATATATATATATACAAATTTGCAAAAGCTTGTTGCCGTAGAGAATTCCCAAAATAAGTCGAATAGCAAACTTAAAGATTTCTGGTTTCAAAGTCAAAGTCAATAAGTGAGCAAGAGTAAATATATCGCTGATAGTTTTTTTTTTTTTTTTTTGTTTTGTTTATTTGCGTATTTAAGCAAGCCAAACCCGAAATTGGTGAGCGGCATGCCAAGTGTAAATGATTTTAGTGACAAGGTAGCAAAAATTCCAACAACAAAGAAACGCCTCAGCTTGAAATCAACAGACTAGAAGAGAGAGACACGTAGAGAGGGAGAGAGAGAGATAGAAAGGGAGAGAGAGACACGGGTGTAAATTCAAATCTGTCTCTTTTCAAGTGCAGCGAAGCGGCGACGACGACGACGTCGACGGCGACGTTGCCTTAAAAGTAATCACAATTGAATTTTATAGGTGGCGGGGCAGAAGGAGAAAATAACAACAGCAACAACTACTCAAAAGTTGTTGCAGTTGGTGTTGTGAATGAATTTCTGCCTGATAAGAATAATGCTCAAGCAACGCCTCACAAGGTTTAACAAACGGAAGTGATTAATGCAAAGGGCTGCCAAAAGTTAATTCTTTAAAAAAAAAAAAAAATCGTGCGCATTGCTGCCCCCGCCAATTAGAAAAATATACATAAATCCCAACTGGTAAACGCCAGTGTTGTACAATGAAAAACACTCATACATTGAGCATTTGAGAAAGAGAACCGAGAGCGGCTTGCGCAAGAGCGCAAGAGGCAAACGCAAAGGCGCGTAAATGCAAGGCACAAAAGGAAGCAAATAACAACAAAAAGAAGAAGCAAAAACAAAGAGCGCTCAAGCAAACGCAAAACGTGAGAAGCAAATAAGAAAATAATGCGACGCCGCCGCCGCCATACAAAAATCAATTTAAAGCGGCGTGGGGATGTGAATGTATATGTATATATATGTATATATATATATATATATATGTGTAGGTTTGTGGATGCTGGCTGTGCTTCTTTTTTTTGCACTCTAAGAGTGGAGTTAAGCTTTGCATACCAAATTGCAAATACGCTATATTTTTTAAAATTATTAATTAATTTGTATTTATCACTTTTCAAATGTAACAACAAAATTATTGACTATTAAAAATTTACTTATAATTTGCACAATTTAATATAATTAATTCATCTTTTTTCTTACAATATAATTACTTAATAATTTTTTAAAATTGTTGCAACTTTTTTTTATTGATTCAAATCATACAAATGGAGACATTTGCAAAATAAACTCAATTTAAACATTTGATTTGATCAACTCCAAAAACTTCTCTTGTGAAAAGGGCATAAAAACTGTATACATCACACACACACGCACACACATGCTCACACAGACTCGCAACACGCGACGGCTTTGCCGGCTGATGATGAGAAGAACGAGAAGGCAAATATGTGATAAAAGCGAGAGAGAAGGGAGAAGGAACACTCAATTATGCTTAATTTGTTGTTAATCAAACTGACAAACAATAAACTTAATAAACCGTTGTAAACCTTTTGCACCAGCACACGAGAGAAAAAGAGAGCGAGAGAGAGAACTAAAAGAACGCGGCAGACAACAAAAAGCGGGTTAAAAATTGCGTTGGGCAGTCAAAATGTGAAGAAAAAATAAATTGCGCTCACGTTTTTTTTATTATTTTCTCAATTGTAGCTGTAGCTGTTGTTGTTGTTATCGTAGTATGTTTTGTTGTTTTCTGTTATAGTTTTGTGATTTGTGATTTTGCCGCTTTTTTTCAAATATTGCTGTTTTTTACACTGCGCTTTCCTCTGCTTTGTATTCTTCACGTTTCAGACTTTATTGCAATTTGCAATTTTAGACGCGACGCGCTGTTTTTGAGATATATTTTTGTTTGTTGTTTTTCTCTCTTGATATTTTGTAGTCACAGTGTATTGCACGGGGACGCGAGACAACAATTGCTATGCATAATACAATTTTATTGGGTCTCTCTGCCTTGCTTATGTATTTTCTGAATTTTCTGTATTTTTCACTGGCCAACAAATCGAGACGTTGCAACGCGCTGCGAGCTGAACGAACCGTACACCACCATTAAATTTTTATAAATGACTCAGTTTTGCGCTCAGTATTTCTTATAAGAACAAACACAACCCAAACGGGCTGTAACACTCGCTCTCTCGCTCTCTGTCTCTGTGGCTCTCTTTTGGAGTGTTAACGCCACCCGCAGTGCTGTTAATTTACATGCTACTCAAACTGTTAACTCAGCGCTAAGTTGAGTGTAGTGACTGCGGTTCAAAATAACGTTGCACACTCTTGGGGATGCGCGCTATGTTAACATAACAGCTGACTGTTAACCAGGAGTATGTTTGTTCACAGCCTGTGAGTGCGTTATGTGTCTGCCAAAACTATAGTTGTCCCACTTGCACTTGTTGCGCACAGCATGCGACAGTGTTGAGTGTATTTCTGAGTGCTCATTTTAAATGAATTGCAGCAGTGTGTGTGTTGTGTATGTGTGTGTGGCATGACAAAAAAGTGCTGCCAAGTTGAGTGCAACTCGAATGCATTCAAAAGAAATTTGTTTGTTTTATGTTGTTTTTATTAAACAAGGATTAATGAAAGTAGATTAATTTGTACATATTTTCAATTGAAATTGAATTGGATTTAAAAAATATTCTATTCTATCTATACAAATGCCTCGCAATGAACTGTGAAAAGGCTTAACACACAATTTTCCATGAGCAATGCAATTTAACTTAATTTATCGTATTCATATTTCAAAAACTAAATCACAGGAAAACTAATTACATTGAGTTCATTTCTAATAATTGCATTAGCAGTGAAAATTTGATTGAGTATTGCCACAGTCAATACCAAAGAGGTCAAATATATTAAATTAAAGATATATTACATGTTTAAGTAGATAATTTAATTTAATTTGTTAGCACAAAATGTGATTTCGAATAAGAAAACTATTTATCAAAGAGCCTAAATAAAATGAAAAGACCCCATTAAATATGCATAAATTATTTATAATTTAAAGCTTTGGGATTTTTGTGTGTGTTTTTTTTTAATGAAAAATATGGAAACAAATGGTTTTATGGTTAATATTATATTTAATTTAAATTTTAAAACGATCCGTTTCAGGAACAGTTATAAATTCGAATTTTATATGCGAACTCCAAATAATACTTGCTTCGGGCCAGTTCTTTCATCTGTCTTTTAATAAATATTATTACACTAAATTGTGTTTTATATTTTCAAATTGAAACGATTCTCAGCAAATATGCAACGAATTATTTAACAAAGTGCATCAAGCAAACAAAAAAACCAATCCAGTGTTGAGAACTCTTAACGAAATGCATCAGCTGATCGCTAGCCGCTCAGCGCAGCGTTGCCACATGTATTCAAGAGAAAAACGTAGCCTGACATCATTGCCAGGATGAGTAAAAGATTTAAATTGATGAAAAATGTATTTAAATTTATATCACTGAAGCGATCGCGATGGAAAAATGACAAAAGAAAAGAATCTATAAAATATGCCTGCATATGGAAAGTAAAACATATAATATATTTCCATTATGTACTCCACGCAAGCAAAATCAATAATTGACAAAGTTAAGAAATACAAATTTGTTCAAATTTGCAAAAGCTAAAATTCACAAATAATCTAGAAATTAACTTGACTGCTCCAATCGGTATATATCCACACAGTATATATTGAATTCAGGTATTTCCCATGATTACATTCCCGTCACAAGCAGTTGATGGAAATACTCGTTAGATAATCCGGGTTAAAGTCTTGCTTTGAACTAAATAATCCGAATATTTAATCACATTTGAACCAATACACCCACATACTGATATTGATTTGATACACACAGTTGCAAAGAAAATAATAGCTGCACACAAGAAATGCTTTCAAAGTTGTCGATTTTAAAACGAGAAAACTTTTCGAAAGGTGAAAAAAGACTCTTAAAAAAGGGAGAAAGAAACAAACCTTAATTTCATTCATTCCCCACTTATTTAAATTAAACTAAAATTAAAATTAACAAATTAAATATTATGAAAAACGATGAACTTGATCGAAAAAATAATATCACCATTTTTCAAATGTGAATTTATAATTATAACTATGCATTTTTCATTTATAATTAGAAATAAGTAAATGATTTATAATTCCTTCCTTTGAGGGCGAAAATATATTTCTACGTAATTTAAAAAGATTCCAGGAACAGAACTAACTTTAATGTAAAAGGGGAATACTAAACAATATTTTAAAAATCAACATTTTAAAAAAAGGGCAAAATTTTCAGAGTTAAGAAAGTAGATGAACAGATATACTGTTGGACTGAAGCATAGAGAATACTATGTTGTATATTAACTGTAGCAAATTGAACTCCTGGCCGAAAGATATTAACCTTAACTGAATGCAATACAACGATAAAAAGTTTTTACTGCCTCGTCTAATTAAATTAACTTTTCTGCATGGGTATTTTCCAAAAAAATAATAATCGCCTTTGTTTGCCACAAATAACAACAGAAAAAAAGAAGAAGCAAATATTACACACTGTTAAAAATGAATGTACAAATGAAAAGAAAAACATTTGTGTTTGTGCACGAGCCAAAATAAACCCAAAATGGAATGTTATTCCATATGCTACGTGCAAATCAGATTAAAATATTGCAAAAGACTTTGACTACATATATATATATATGTGGCCATGTGGCACAGGTGAATATGTATGTATATGTATATATATTCACCTGTGCCACATGGCCCTTCAACGTTTTGTTACTTGCAGCAGGACGTGCACAAACATAAACACGAAAGTCAATTAATTGAATAAAAATAAAATAAAAATCAAAATAAAAATTTATTTGTGCTCCACACAAAAATGGCAAAAAATTGCAAACGAAAAACCTACGGAAAAAATATCTTTGGTCAGCGGTGGGTTAATTGGGGGCTGTGTGTGTGTGTGTGTGTGTGTGTGGGCGTGGCACATATTTAAATGTCACACGCATAAATACACACAAACAGAGAGCCGGACAGACACAGTATTGTAGAGAGAGAGACAGAGAGAGAGAGAGAAAGAGACAGATGCAGTCAAGTTATTATAAAAGTGTAACGAGATGAAGCGAAAGCAAATATGAGTGCAACAGCTGAGAGAACCCGACTAGGAGATACCCTAGACACACCCAAGCTAACACTCAGTTTATGTGCGTATAAATTATTTCGATCTATGATTCTTAGTCGATCCTAATGAAATTTGATTGTTCCTCAAAGTTCCTGAAAATTGTTTAAGATGTATTTTAATCATTTTTGTTATCGGTAATTGATAAGTATTACTTAAGATTTAAAGAGTAGAATAGTATTAGAGAGATATAGTATTAGTACAGTTAATTAATGTTACATTAAGCTATATTTCATTAAAATTTTAGAACTGTATCTTGAGCATGGTGACTTTTACTGCAATCGTTAATCGATTTTCATCGATTGAGGGAGTTATCGATAGAATGTAATACACTTGATATACACTTGGTATTCAGGAATTTATATTTCAAACTTATAAAGTCCAATATTTGTTTATTGTGTATATCAAGAATATATATATACTTTATCCAATCGGAGAAGCTTCATTCTTTGCACAACGTCATTTTACACTTTTTACACATTTTACACTTTCTTAATGGTGTCGGGGAATATAACATGAATTGCGGACAGATATTATTTGGGGAAAGGGTTCAAATTTGCGGCTGGGACTGCGATAAGTGTGGAGCTTAATTAAATTGCCATGGCATCCAAAGTGCATAGACCGAGAGGGAAATATCTCAGCCGCAAAAAGAGTGCCTGCCATCATCAATAATAGTGAAAGCAATAACCAACCAACAGAAATTAAGTTGCCAGCCCCATTCGGGAGAAATGCTGAAAAATCCACGAAAAATAAATATCCCCAAATGTGATACAAGCGAAGTGCATTATGGCCGTGAGTTTAATTAAATTATAATTAAACTCATTTGAGTGGCTAGAAAGGTGGTTCAAGGTAGAATAATGATTGTAACACACACACACGCACACACACACACACACACACACACTCACACACACCAATTCACAGTTTTTCATCCATCTGTATTTACATGTTCGTGAAATTTTAATCACATTTTGCTTGTGGTTGTGGGGGCAGCCCTTTTACACATACACACAGATAAACAACTATATAGAAAGTAAATTTATAAGTACACTCAGAGAAAAGCCCTGCCAGCTGGCTAGAAAGAGTCTTTACTGTTGATTGCTCTTTTTATTTTACATTAAGTCGACTACAAAGAGGTCAAAGTTTTTGTTTGGTTTTAACATGTACAAATTTAAATACAAATCAAAATGAAAGTTACGAAATAAACTATATAAAATGCAGAGGGAGAAATTAACAGTAAATAAATATCAGTATTTATTTCAAGGACTGAGAAAACCCAATGAAATTAAATTAAATTAAATCAAACTAAAAGAATAGATTCAACTTATATAAAATCAAGTATATTGAACCGATTAAATCCTCAATCCTTAATGTCTACATATTATTAACATGAACGATATAAGAGAATAAATAAGTGAATATTTAAATAATAATCTTAAGCTCCTGGCAAGGAAAAATAATCAATTTCAAATTACAAGCAAAAATTCCCTGGTCGACAATAAATAAAATGTTTAATTTGGTAAAATGATTTCTTGAAATGAAAAACTGCTTTTAATGTTCAATTGGTCAGTAACTATGTGAATACTTGGCACTCTGGACTTAATCAGAAACCACGTCTTACTTCAAGTGAGCAAGTTCTTCTTCTTCAAAGCCAGAACAATCTTTTCTTTTTTTTTTCTGTGTTCAATACATAAAATTGGCAACCAATAACTTTTCATTTGTGTGCGAAAGTTAAATGGATGTGGTTTTGTCGATTGCCGGGGGGGGGAAAGTGTATGGAAAAGTGGGTCACATAGCGATTTGAGCTTAAGGATCGATGGGGACATTCTGACAGAACACTCTTTGAAAATTAGGTCCTGCTGAATTTCGAATCAACTCCAATTGTCACAAAATAAATCAATATGTTTATCTCTGT